TCATCATCATCTCCTCACCTCCCCTGCCCTGTAGCGTGGCCGAGCTCCTCTCCGGTCCGCGACTGACAGGAAGTGCACACTGAGTGTGCACTTCCTGTCAGTCCGGCCGGGCCGCGGACCGGAAAGGAGCTCGGCCACGCTACAGGGAAGGGGAGGTGAGGCAGTGCGGCAGCCGTCTGAGCGCTCTCTATAGAGCGCTCAGGCAGCTGCAGCATTTAAAGGGCTGGCGATGGGGGCGCAGGGCGCCCCCTCCTATATGGCGCCCTAGGCGGCTGCCTAGTTCGCCTTATAGGAAGTGCCGGCCCTGTCTGTGTGTGTGCATACATGTCAGTGTGTGCATCTGTGTGTGTATATATGTCAGGGTGTGTGCATGTGTCAAGGTGTAAATGGATTTGTGTGTGTGTCAGTGTATTTATATATGTGTATCTGTGTGTTAATGTGTATGTATATCTGTGTAAGTAGGTATACATGTGTCAGTGAATATGCATACATCCAAGCAATCAAACACCAACACCACATGCAAACATACTCCTGCAATCTAGCACAAACAGGACATACAAACCCCTGCATTCAAACTCCAAAACTGTATACAAACACACTCCTTCACTCAAACACCAATGCTACACACAAATGTACATCTGCATTTAAAAGCCAACATTGCATCCAAACACATCCTTGTGTTAAAACACTAACATTATATACAAGTACCCCTTCAGTCAAACACCATCACTACACACAAAAGCACACCTATTTTTAAAGGCCAAAACTATGTACAAACACACCTCTGCATTCAAACACTACACAGAAATACACAACTGCATTCCAATGGCAGCAGTACATACAAATACACCCCTACATGTACAAAGACCCTGGTGCAGTAGTGTGTTTTATATGGTCTGCAGCCATTTCATTGCAGCAGTGTTTTTGTAGGAAGCGTTTGTGTTTGAATGCAGGTCTATATTTGTGTGCAGTATTGGCATTTGAATCTTTTAGTGTGGTAGTATATAATGTTTTTCTTTTGAATATAGGGATGTGCTTGTATGCAGTGGTGTATCCTGGTTTTGTGCTGCCCTAGGCATGACAAAACTCAGGCACCCCTCCCTCTCCCATCCCACCTTCTAAATACACATACACACTCACTGACAGACACCACATATACACTAGCTAACAGACATACACACTCACTGACAGAAACACATACACACTCACTGACAGACAACATACACACTCACTAACAGACACACACACTCACTAACAGACACGCATACACACTCACTAGCAGACATACATGCTAACACACACACTAACAGACACAGTAACACACACACTAACAGACACACACACACACACACTAACAGACACACTCTCACTAACAGACACACACACTCACTGACAGACACACACAGTCACTAACAGACACACACTCACTAACAGACACGCATACACACTCACTAACAGACATGCATATACACTAACACACTCTAACAGACACACACACACTAACACATTCACTAACACACACACTAACACACTCTCTAACAGACACACACACACACTAGCAGCTCACTAACAGACACACACATACTAACACATTCACTAACAGACACACACTCACTAACAGACACACACACTAACAGACACACACATAGTAACGCACTCCCTAACAGACACACACTAACAGACACACAGGCACACACTAACATACACACACACAAACACTCAAATTTTTATAAAATTCAATCCCCCCAGCCTCCCTACTTTTGGGAGTGCTGGGGTGGATTCTCTCATTCCCTGGGGTCCAGTGGGGCTGCTGGCCGGTCACTGCAGTCGGCGAGGGAGCACTGATCCTCCTGTTCAGCTACCTCGCGCGCTGTGTAGTAATGCCGGGGCCGGAATGACGTAATAATCCGGCTCCGGCATCACTGTGCTGTGCGCAAGGGAGCTGAACAGGAGGATCAGTGCTCCCTCGCAGCCCGCCCGGAAAGTGTCGCCGCTTTTTTTGCCGCCCCCCCCCAGAAAATGCCCTTTTAGCCTTGCGGTAAATACACCCCTGCTTGTATGTAGTGTTGACTTTTAATTGCAGAAGTGTGTTTGCATGTAGTGTTGGTATTTTTGTGCAGCAGTGGGTTTGTATGCAGCATTGGTGTAATGCATGGGTGTGTTTGTGTGTTTTATTAGAAATTGGGGATGTGTGCACATATACATATACACTGCCACACACATGCTGACACACAGTTACACATACGCACTGACACACACACACAGCAGCTTTACTGCTGTTTGGGCCACCCCTCTATGTGGGACTAATTATGTATATTGCATGCCGCAGGTTGAGAGCCGCCCTGCAACCTCATCCTAATATGCCGACAGCACACGGGCGCTTATTACAATCGTTCCTGCCTCTTTCCCTGTACTCTGGGCCAAGTGGGCGGGAGGATAGCGGGGGTGGGCCTGAGAGAGACTCAAGCCAGCCAGGCAAAGTCCAGAAGCCTGTTTTGTTTTAAAGAGTGTGTTAGCCTGCTTCAGTCAGTATGTGTGTGTCTGCTTGAGTTAGTGTGTGTGTGAATGTCTGCTTGAGTCATTGTGTGTGTGTGTCTGCTTTGATCAGTGTGTGTGTTTGGGTCATTGTGTGTGTGTATGTCTGCTTGGGTAAATGTGCGTGTGTCTGCTTGAGTCAGTATGTGTGTGTCTGCTTGGGTCAGTGTGTGTGTGTGTCTGCTTGAGTCAGTGTGCATGTGCCTGCTTGAGTCAGTGTGTGTGCTTGGGCCAGTGTGTTTCTGCTTGAGTAAATGTGTGTGTGTCTGCTTGAGTCTGTGTGTGTCTGCTTGAGTCAGTCTGTGTGTGTGTCTGCTTGAGTCAGT